ATAAAAATTAACATATTATAAAAATAATAAAAAATACATTACATTGTATTGAAGTTCGTCCCAAAATTGAGTGATCTCTGCACTTTGGTTATACTTCGGTATAGTAGCTTTCATCTTGTTTTCAAGAACTTCGCCTGCATCTGATCTCAGAACGTAACCAGCAATTCCGGCAGAGAGTTCGAGTATGAAAATAAATATTAATAGCCCCGTGAACTGTGTGAAGAAAAAAAAATTCGTTAGATAAGATGAGAGTTTTAAATGTTATTGTTTTTTGTTTTGTTTTAATACTTACGGTAAGCAGCATGCAATAATTTTCTTTCACGGCACCGCAGCATCCGAAGAAAGCAATGAAGAAGATAATAATACCGATCGCTATCATCAACGATGGTACCGACAAATATTTATTGTCAAGGATGTGATTGTAATTGTAATAAACCGCATGAATAGCCGTACCTAAGACCAGGAATACTATTCCCGTCATCTGAAAATAAATAAAATCCAAAAATAAACGTAATGCTTCGTTAAACGGACGTTCATCGACGTATATACAATTAAAAAAAAAAAGTAAGAAGAAAGATTATGTTAAAAAATAAATACTCACGAATATTCATATTCTCGTCGTTAATAATAATAAAATAAAAAGGAAACACAAAAAATACAAGTTATAACTTTACGATTGTAACAAATTAATATTAACGCGGATAAATATTTTTTCTATTTAATTTAATGAATAAATTAACAAGATATCCTAACACAAATAAAATTTTTATAAATGTTATATAAATATTAACTTTACATTTCGCACACAGGGCCTAGCGAAATATAGATACAGGTCTGTTTTTATGAAACAGGCTCAAAACTTTTCAACCTACTCACGTAGGTATATCTAATGTATAAAAAAGTAATCATTTACAATTAGATACATTGATTAAAAATATATATTACATACATGATATATCATAATGATTTAAAATATGATAATACGAGACTCTTTTTATTAATTTTTTTTTCTTTGTTTTAGTTTTGTTTATTACAAATTACGTGGAAATTTTCGCGGAAGTTATGCGAGCAAAGGTGGCGTAACCATTGTAGTATATTTTACGAGCTCAAACATTACATCGTTAATAGATTCCAACAACTTTTATTTATTCAATGTGTAACGAGTACTGTTAATTATTTAATCAAGCGACACACAAAATGTTCCATTTAGAATCGTTCGCTTTTCAATTAATCGATAAAATACTAACATAAGCGAATTCTTCTTCATTCTCTTTCTCTCTCTCTCTCTCGTGATAGATTCTCGCCATTTTAAAATTGCATTATTTAAATTAGCAAGAAAGTGATATTCTCTTTTTTTTTTGCAACTTAATCTAATTCACATGACTTAGAGTGTTGGGGACATGTTACTGATCATTTATATGGCTTCTTTACCCTCATTTTCTCTGTCTTATCTTTTTCTTTTTGCTTTTCTTTTTTTTACTATTTAGAATTATCGTTAACAAGATAATATTCACATATACAAACGTTAAGCATACGCGTGTATGTATTTTTTAAGAACAAGTCTATATTGTTTATCGTGATATCGTAGACTAAACAAAAAAGACACATTTCTTTATCGTTAGATTAACTAACAAACGTTATTTTTAATGATGCAACGAGGAAGAAGGAAAATTTTAAGATTTTCAACGATCGATATTTTCAACAAATATTAACGTTTCATCGAATAATTATTGCTCGAATCATAATGGGGGGAGTTAGAGAAAAATGAACTTGATATATAAATTATCATATGCTATTTCTATCTTCAATAATACTTCAAATGTTGAGTCATGCAACCAAGCAATGCTTACAAATATCATTTTTCGAAGAAATATATCAGGTTTATCAAGGGGGAGAGAGAGAGAGAGAGAGAGAGAGAGAGAGAGAGAGAGAGAAAAAAATAATTAGAGGTTAGAATTTTTCAATATAAATTGAAAGTATTGATTCTTCGTTTACCAATGATAACATTTCTTTTTGACTACGCCATCTTGCTTTCGTGGCAATTAAGTATTTCTAATTTATTATGAACAATGAATAATTGAAGAATAAATCTTTCCCTTAATCATTATCATTTTCGGTCCGCCTTTCTTGTACTTAAAATAGTTTTGTCGTTGATAAACATACAGAAAATAGAAATATCTATTATTCAGATAACCTATAATGAACTAGTAATATTCTGAGCATTTTGATTAACATTTCTAAGCAATATAAAAGCATTAATAAACGAAAATGCACATCTTGACGTAAAATGTAATAAAACGTAAAAATAAAAAAATAAAAATGTTCACGTTCGTGATTTCGTATAAAAAAAAAAAAACAAAAGAAAATAGAGAAAAATAAAAAAGAAAATAATTTATTAATTATAAAATTATTCATTAATAATTTATTCGTACGAGAAAATTTGCACAACAGTGCGTATTATTTAAATGCGTTTTATTCGATGTTATATAAAAGAACACAGTTGGTCTTGAAGTTGCTTTTATACCGAATAAGACAAGCAACTCACATGAGCTGCGGTGTCCGAGCGGTTAAGGAGATGGACTTGAAATCCATTGGGTTCTACCCGCACAGGTTCGAATCCTGTCCGCAGCGAATTTTTTTTTTTTTTTTCAATTTTTCTTTAAAATTCAATTTTTCTCTCTACCCTATCTTTCTTATCTGTTAAAGATAATATTTTATTTATATTCTTAAACCGTAATAAAAATATATATATATATTCAGTTATATAAACATTTCCGTGCGCGCGCGCGCGCGCATGTAGATACGAGAGTATATAAAATATCCATATAACTTCGAAAAGTTAATAGAAACTGAAAGATAATTTAAAATAAAACTATCCCTACGGCAAGAATTTTTGTTTACATAATAAAAATGGCCAAACTATCATAGATGGATCGAAGCCGGAAAAAGGATAATGAAAATAAAATCATCATCTTGAAAATTTCATGCGTCTGACGATCTTTCGCGTAGCCAAAATTTACCGAGAACAATATTAAATAAACAAACTACGTCACTCGCGCCGAATAATCTTCGCCATATCTTAAATCGAACGATAAAAATATACAAAGAAAAAGAAAAGACAATCTTGAACGTTTCCATCTTTACGTTTGCGTTCTCGTAACATTGGCTGCATCATACACTACCGTACCGTACCGCGTGTTTTAACGAAAATGTTAAATATGGAACGAAAAATATGGCGTTTGGTGTAGCGAAACCGTGTAGCATTAAAACAAACAAAAAAACAGAAAAAGAGAAGAAAAAATAAAAAAACGAAAAAGATTTCTCTTACTATATATATATATATATATATATCTGCCGCGAACAAGAGTCAACGTCAGAAGACCGGTTTTCTTGGTGGTAAAGAGTTAACCTGGTATTCAGAATCCTTTTTTGTTTTTAATTTTTTTTTTTTTATTACTTCTCGTCTTTCTCTTTCTTTCGTCCCGTCTTTCCCTATTTGTTTTTCGTACATGCCAGACAAAAAAAAAAAAAGAAAAAAGAAAGAAAGAAAGATTTCGACTTGGGGTTTTCAAAGTTGGTTACATGAATCGATAACAATTATCTCGTATGATGAAAATAATGATAAAGAAAAAGAAGAAGAAGAAGAGAAGATAAGAGAAGAACAAGAATGAGTATAGAAACGAAACGGAGAGACGTATTTTCCACGTGATTCATACATTTTTCTCTTTCTTCGACGTTAAAAGTCGAGAATAATTTTTTTTTAAATAGCAACAGAACACAAAAGTATCGGTTAAACCACCACTAGCAACAGCAGCCAGTGAAGCTGGTGCAACGATCTCTTTCACCTTGAGAAAGAATAAGACTAAAAAATATATTCGAGATGCAGGGAGTCTTCGGCGGTGTTTGACGTACTTGCTTACACATACATATACACTCGTTGTACATACATATATATATATATATATATATTATATACGACTTCTCGTACTCGTGGCACTTCCAATGATATATATTTCAGAGAATTATTGCGACGTATTTATCTATTTCTATCTCACTCTACTTATTTATCTACGTCTCATTCATTCTCTCTCTCTCTCTCTTTCTTTCTATATCTCTCTCTTTATCTTTCTCTTTTTAGTATGCACTTGCACTAAAAAAAAAAAACCACTTGCACGTATTTATCGGCTAAATCCCGATTCGTTCGCACTCAAAAAACTTACCACAAAGGCTAAATTGAAGATAAACATAAGGTACTTGACGCATTTCGAACTAGACGATAACTTCATCGATGCCATTGTGTCGGCTATGTTACCTGCGTAGGAAAAATAAAAAATAATGTAATGCAAGATATATCGTTAATGTAAAAGGGTGGAAGTTAAAATAGAAAAGAAGACACCAAAAACATTTATCGTGTTCACCGTGTCTGGAATACTTGGATATAATAAAAAAAAAAAAAAAAAAAAAAAGGATAAAAGGATCAGGCTTACTCTTTCTTTTTTTTTTTTATTATTTTTTTTTGTCTACCTCTGTCTCCCTCTCTTTCTCTCTCACTCTCTCTCTTTCTTTCTTTCTCTGTCTCTTTCTAATCGAAGTGTCTTGCTGATGGAAGGAATATACACTGATTGTGTCAGAAAAGTATAAGCAAAAACCAGAATGAAACGATGATAATCCCGCTAAATAAGATACTATCGATAGTCGTACATTGGTCAAGCGAAAATGCTCAACTGCACATGCGCACTCGCTACGTTGTATCCGATCTTTTGCGAATACAACCGAAATTAAACGAACGATTCCTCGTAAAACACGCGGGCTTCCTAAGCTTGTTTATGCATGTACGTCGCGTAACTACTTTGTCTCTCTCTCTTTTTTGTTTTAAATTATAATATATAATATTATTTGAGTTTTTAATTTTAAAAGTGAAAATGTTTCTTTATTTAAGACATACTCGACAATGCAATAATTGCGTTTATGTATGTATATTTGTAATTTTGTTAATTTTATTTTTGTTATGCAAAATTTTTATTGATGTGTGTAATTTAAAAAGTAGTATATCAACAAAAATATAGAAATCTGCTATTATTTACAGTAGGTAATTTTCAAAAATAGATATCTACTGTTATCGAGTTTTGATAAATTAAACATCTACTATTACAGACAGTTGATAAAACAGGAATCTTTTATTACCTTTTATAAAATGAGTCTAATATTATTATAGGAATGGGATTTGTCCTGAGTCTTCGTATACAAAAAATTGATAATATATAAGGAAGGGTTGACACGAGGTTAAAGAGAAGGGTGAATTAGTTAAGACTTATGTTTGTTGACAAATTTTATTAACGAATATATTATTTCGGATCTACAAATTTCTCTTATTTTCCGCCATTTTTTATTGCTTTTATAGATCATTTTCGAGACAACAAATACTGAAAATAGTAAATGAAAAATTTTAAACATTTTAATTTAAATATAAAAATTTTGATCGCGTATATAAATTTGATTTATATACACATTGGACAGTTAACAGATTTATTCTATTTATATGTTTTTAAATAACATCTCCGTGTAACCGAGTTATAGATATTTGTTACGAGTTAGGAATGATTTATCGTAGAAAACACTTAACATTCGTACAATCCTGATACCCAATGAGAAAAAGCGCGTGCGCGTGCATCGAGCACGCATGCACGTTTATATGTTGCAATTATATAAGGGTTTGCAATGATGGGGGTCTTTCTGACGTGGCCGACATTGCCTAGGAAATTTTCTAAGCCACGGCATGTTGCGTGTAATAGATTAGTTCTACCTGGTGTTTGGATCAATGCCATTATGCTATTAGTTACTAAATACAGGACAACAATGTATTTAAATATCTGATTAAAGTTTTCTTTTAAACAACTTTATATATATATATATAGAAGAAAATTCGTATTCTATCCAATCCATTATAGTAATTTGACGTAGACATATTGAGTGTCTTGATTTAATCATTTTATATTTAATAATAAGAAAATTGAGATCTGAGACAAATGGCCGCTGATTAATTCCTATAAATAAATTTGTATTACCTGATGACGCGAACATCTTTGGTCACGTTGGCGACAATAGTAATTTCTTCACTCGAATAATCTTTGAATAAGAATTTTAATAACACTTATTAAAAATATATACACACGTATGTATATATATATATACATAAGAAAAATATCTTATCAATATAAATGAATTGTACACCGAAGTAATTAACTACATAATAATTTGAACAATATGTCCGACTTAAAGAACTATACCGTGAAGTTGCCGTTTTAATAATATATTATGATCTCGATATTATCTATACCATATCTGCATTTTAATAATGAATGATGATTCATCATATCGTGAAATACCAAATTAACAATATGTATATTGGTATTAATATAATCGATGCTAATAATACTTACAAAATGATTTAAATACGCGTTTCAATCAGGACAGATTACTTTTCTTTTCTTTTCTTTTTTTTTTGGTTGATATCGAATTTCAACGAAGCTTAACAGTTTCCTTCGTGTTAGAAAAGCGAAGCCCCTGAAAATGAACGTTCTAACTAACGTCTCGGTTTGCAGAGAGGGAAAAATAGAAAGAGAAAGAGAGAGAGAGAGAGAGAGAGAGAGAGAGGTCAGTGAATTTGCTGTCTGCCACCTACGCGAGGTCTGCAATTAAATTAAAACATACATCGTGTGTGTCGAGAACCATCATATAATTTATTCTCTTTTATCATCGGGTGCATCGTACTCGATGCACACGAGTTTTTCTTTCATCATTCAGACGGTTCATATTCGCATATGTGGTATATGCATATTATACTAATACAAATTTATTTATTTCATAGCACGAGAGTCCTTCTCTAACTTTTCAATATATTTTGAAAAATTATTTTTTCTTTCTTTTGCATCCAACTAACTTTAACTATTGAACTTTTTATCAATTTGTACAAATTTACAAAAGGATGTTGTAAGAAAAAATATATTTTCTATTTAATATGTACGTTTTTTCGGTACTGTATATATGTATGCACTTAACCACGTGGATTTTTTTTTTTTTGTTTAGAAAAGTTTTCCAAATAGACCAATTCAAATTGTAGTAGAAGCTGTATAATTTCTTTTTCTTTTTTACGAACAATTCTATCATCACTCCGAACGGGAAGTTGGGGATATTATAAACAAAATATGTATAAAATATAAATATAAATATCGACGAGAGACTATTTTGCGCTAAAACGAGAATACAAATGCTTGAATTTTCCTCGAAAGTGACAGCTGTTCGCGCATAACTAACGAACGCGTAAAACTAAGAAGGTGTACACAACTAGCTCGTACAGGGTGTTTCAAATGTTTTTCTATAAACTTTTCTCATAATTTATAATCATTGATACACAGTTTTAAAACTCCAATATATTTGCATAAATATATTTTCATTTTATATTCTTTATTGTATTCATATAATATAGTCGATTTTTTATATTATTATATATTTATAGGTCATTTGGAAATAAATTATTTCTCAATGTAACGTAACTTCGGTTCAATGGCACTTCCTTATTTCTGAGTTACGAAGCTCGTTAGACCAATCGGAAGGACGCCACGAGTGACCGCGAAATTCAATTCGTTTGATTCGGGACAAGGGTAAATATCGAGAATATTATCCATCCATCTATTTTACAGACTGGATGTATATTACTTAAATGCATATATACATCTATATGTATGTGTGTGTATATGAAAGATACAAAGTAATATACCATTGGCGAATGTTAGATTTAAATCGATGTATCATGAAAATGGGGAAGGGTGAATGAAGGATAAACCATGGGTGACGAGGGACGATAAGGTATCCCTGTGTTAAAAAGAAAAAAAAAAAAAAATGCAGAAAGAAAAGAAAAAAGGGCAAAGGGGGAATGACAATCGTTCTTTTCGAACTATACCCACCTCGCATAACTAACTTACGTGTATGTATCTATATATACACGTTTTTGTATATTTGTATGCGTGCGTGCGTGCATGTGTGTGTGTGTCTGTACGCCGCGGTAATTGTTAACCAAGGATCCTATTGAATCGAAGTAGGGCTGCCACGAACCAAGTCCACCCTCGTATAAAATGATCAACCGAGCCCTTCGTTATTTTTTGTTCCTTTACGTTTTTTGTTTCCCCTTAAAATAATAATAACAATAATAATAATAATAATAATGATAGTGATAATAATCAAATGTTTTCCTGTATTTTTGGTCTGGTCGTTTCTCATTCCCTGTTTACGATCCAAACGAATATACAAATATTGTTTTATTTATTTTCTAGATAAAATTGTCTCTATTCCAAGTTCAATTAAAATATTGTTAAATATATTTTGTCTGTTTTTCTCTCATAAAGAGTATTAAAATTTGAGAAAAGGAGAGACAAATTGAGGAATAAAATAAGAACGTTCGGGTTACGTTGATAATTAGTTGAGTCGCCATGATGCATCTTTTACCGTCGAGACAGTCCTCAGCATCTGATAGGTGCGCTGTAGTATAAAACGGCAGGGCTGTATATTCTAAGACACAACGTTAACGAACGATAATACAACCAACAACAATACAAAAAATCATGAAGTAATACTATCGCAATTGAGAGTTTATTTCGAAAGCGTCGATAATCGTGATCGTTAGTCATAAATATTTCAACATCTTGCATTTAAAATCGATGATCACGGATCGTTGCACCGTACAATGTCCTTTTAAATTTTCAATCATTTGGACTTCGATTATTTTCAGATTCAACATAAGAAGAAGAATCAACGATAAAAATAAAATTGTATTCCCGCCAGTTACGATTTTTCCTATGATCGATAAACCATAATCTATGAGGATGAACACTAATGGAAAAAAAAGAATAGAAAAACGAAAAAACATTTGAAAAATAAGCAATTGAAATTGGAAAAAAAATCACCAACAGCTTGATACATCCTTGAGCGTGCGCCCAGGTAAATGGTGGTGGGGGGTTAAAAGAGTTGCGCGCGCATCCTGCCATCGTATTGTCGGGTAACACAACAAAAATACATAATTCTAGGCGACACTTCGTAACGAACGTTCGAAGGGGTAGTACCATTCGATTCTCATTCGTATAAGATCGTCGATATAATTCAAAGAAATTTTCATAAATTTTTAAGTGTAAAATTAATTCATTCGTATTATCTGATATCGATATAAACAAATAATTAAGGTGAAACGAGATAGAATAACGAAAACAGATAATAAATATATATATATATATAAATTCATATTAATATTTTCATATTTTTCGCGCCTAATTGAAAATAGAGAGTGAGATTATAAGTGAAGGAAAAAATGGTGTCCGGTACTATGGCTTGCGTGAAATACCTGCTATTCCTTTTCAACTTGATATTCGCGGTAAGTAACGTGAACTAACGGTGTCATTGTACTCTCTCTATATATTTCTTTCTCTTACTCTTTCTCTTTTATTATTGACGTTTTATAAAAAGAAAAAGAATTTATTTTGTATGCTTGTACGTGTGTGTATGTAGGTATGTAATCTATCTTTATCTGTTTCTCTCTTTCTTATTTATTTTTTCCTCAAAATTTTTTCTTTTTCTTTTTTCTTTTTTTGTGTAATTAAATTTACATGTTATCTAACGTAAGAAGAATATTCATGATGTGGGGATTATCTTGTTACTCATTTGTTTATTTTCTTGATTTTATATAAGAAATAAATATTATGGTACGTTAATATTATGTTTATATATATATGTTATAGAAATAATAGTATATTATATAGTATAAATATATATTTTTGATAATTTTTTATGGTCAAACTAAACCACGTTACTTCATTTGTAATATTTCGATTAGAATTTTTGAATTAAAATATTTTAGAAATTTAATATCTCGAATGAAAATTTTTTCTTCTCTCTCTTATCACATATTTTGTATTTCTTATTTTCTATTTATAAATCAACAAATTATAAGAATTATATTCAGCAAGATAATATTTCAAAAAATTTCAAGAATAAGTATAATCTTATTATACTTTTTTTTCTCCTTTTTTTTGTTTCTTGTTTTCCTTCTTTTCATTTTTTATTTTTACAGTCGGTAAGAGACAAAGAGAGAGAGAGATAAATCATATCTGGGGGGTTGGGGTGGGGTGTTGAGGGAAAGGAAAGGAAAGGTAAATAAAAAATAAGTAAAACGAGAACACTTTTAATGTTGGTAATCATTCGTTTGTAAAAAAAAAAAATGTTTATTTCCCTTATCATCGATTATTTTTTCTTTTTTCTTTGGTTTTAAATCATTGCGTGACTCATTCATTCGTCGAAGGAAAAGTTTCTTCTCCACCGTTCGTCGTTCGCTTTCTTCTCTCCCGATAGGAAATGGACGAACCCATGAGAAATGGTTGGTGTGGTGTGGTGGGTTCCTGTCATGGTTGTGTGTGTAGTAGTAGTCACCGAAGTGGAAGGAAACAAAAGAAAAGAACTTACAAGAAATGTGTAGGCTGTGTGTAACCACTATAATATAACTATGACCACATAATATTGTAACTTTGCTTGGTTACTAAAAATAACTATGATGCTAAAAATTAATGATATTTTTGTATTTAAAAAAAAAATACAAAAAACGTTTTATTCTATCTTTGTTTTTTTTTTTTTTAAAGATTTTATTTTATCTTATTTATTTATGTTCGATTATAAGAAATCATATTTTGATAATTTTATGATCTCAAGTTGTTGAACAACATTCGAATACGAGAGACTTTGTATTCTTAATTATTAATCATATCTCTCTCTCTCTCTTAGTATTTTTATTTCTATTTTTATTTCTATTTTATTTATAAATTTCTCATTTTATTTTTGAAAAGCACGTACGTAATTTTATCAAATGAAACCGCATACGAACGCGAGGTATGTATCTCGTTTCCTGATAATGCATTTGGTATATCTTCATATTTGAATATATTTCATTTCATTTATTTCCATCATTTCACGGGTTTAATGTGATCATTTTAATAATCGCATCGTTGAATTGAATTACGTGCGAATTAAAGATCGTTCCTTTCCTTGCAATTTAATTACATTTTATTTCCAATTTTTTTTCTCTTTTTATGTGTTTGTGTGTGTGTGTTTTTTATTCTCTTTTTTCTTTCTTACTTCGTTTATTTCAATTTCTCGCGACCATTTGAATTAAATCGAATCATGAAAATAAATCAAATCGATTGGAACGCGTCCGATTGAATTTACGTACTCTTCTCGAGAGATATATAATAAAATTGAAAAAAAAGGACGCGATAAATAAAAAAAAAAAAAAAAAATAATAAGAACAATTCTATTCGATCGATAACAAAACGTTAATGAATAAAAAATGACAAAGGCTTCCTTTCCGGTTCTAATCGATGTCTCTTATGTACATAAATTACATTTATATAGATGTGTTAT